GAATAAGTTTAATCGCAAAGATTTTTAATATTCTTACCATGAGCCTCTCTAATTGGATTTTAAGTTACGCAAATCTGTATAGATCAATAAGGTTGGTTGAAGATAGGTGGAATCTTAAACATTATAAAACAGTTTATAATTTCTTTATATTTTAGAAATACTATATAACTATATGTGCATTCTCTAATCATTTTTAGACCTAAATAGGTAAAAAATATATAACAATCCAGGCATGCTTCTGTGTGTATCAAGTGTATTAAGGATATTGCTATAATATTATTTTTGAGGAAATGTTTCGTACCTTCCAAAATTGAATTGTAATACCTCCACCCAGTTTCGTAATCAGTAATATTCACAGAATCACATGATTTATATAGAGGACACTTCTTTCTTTTACCATTGTAGCCAAGGCAATTACAATTCTGGCCACACATGGCGAAACACAGCGTGAGAGAGTCAGAATGGTGCACCGACAGGAGAGAATCATAGAATACAACGTCATCTAAGTAAGTGTCCGCGAAATATTGAGACTGAAAGTTAATGGCATCTGTCGTAGTCAACACAGAGTACAACATCAGATAGATGGTGCATCCTAACATAGTGACAGCTCTGAAGATTTAAAGCATGACATTAAGCTCTATTTATAAATCTGAACTTCTTTTTAGTCATCCACCAATTGCAGCATTGCGAACAAAATTTATATACATATATGTATCCTAAGTGCCTGCATGATATCCTCTCTATTTGTACGATACCATATATATCCTAAATCCCGTTTTGTCTTCGTTTTTAGCTTTACTTCTTATATGTCTCTAGAAGTTGAAGAATTCCTTTTTTTAAAAAATCTTTTTGAAGTTTACCATTGTTATTCAGCCGATTAACAATGAAATATGATACATGTATAATCTAAAGCAAAAAAAAAAAAAAAAAAAAAAAAAAAAACACTTAATGATGATTGCAAAAGCATTTGCATTGATTTTCTTGAAAAAGTTGTGGCAACTTCTGAAACCTCTGAGAATTATACCCATAGACTCAGTCGATTAAAAAAGCTTGGAATTGATTTGAAAGTCTTCGTATTTTATTTTTAAGGCTTAAAGCGATCTATTAAATCATGCTCTCGATTTTGAAAATTAAATCTAAAGTATTTTTAGCTGAATAACCTTCAGGGAAAATAGTTTATGACATTTTGTTGATTTAATCCTTTATAACATTTGTAAAATCCTATTTTCGTGATGTCGAATTTTCGTGAATTGAGAAAAATGGATTTATAGGGATTTGATTTCGGGGATAAAGAAGTCTTAAAGCCGCTTCATCCGAAACAGGCACATATTATCTTAAACAATTAAAGTATGTCATTACATAGATAATAATTAAAAATTAATTATAAGATTGATTTAATAGTTTATTACAACAATCCTTACATGGAAAACATAGACCAAAAACCTTGTTGACAAACAGCAGTTCCTGACGGGAAGTTAAGATCTGTTTTGAAGTTACCTTTGAAAAAAATACATTTATCGCTTATATCTAATTATGAAGAGAATTCAAACCCAAGTATTTTTTTTCCATTAGTAGAATCCTAAGTCATGATATATCTTTTAAAAATTAAGAAATTAACTGAATATAATCAATAGTAATTTTTATATTAATATGCATATGTACAGAATAAAGGAAAATCAGATATTTTTAAAGATTTTTTAAAAAAGGAGTTTAGTAACGAGGGCTAGAATATTGCCCGAGTACACTTTGTTTTGGAAAAAATGCTCGGGTTTGTTCTTCATGAGTTATACATGTAAGCGATAAATTTAATTTTTCGAAGGTGATTTCACGCAATGTAAACAAAGGATTATTTTTTGTGTGACTTAACAAAAATTATTTTTTTACCTTTTGAATTTTGATATCTTTAAAAAGAAAAAGACTCTGGGGATATAATTTGACAAAAGTTGAAATAATTTATGGACAATTATTTTTCAAGAAGAAAAACGAATATCTTTTTTTAGCAATTAGAATCGGACCAAGCGGCTTTAAGTAATAAATGTATATGATATTTTACATTTCGGTGGGCATGAACTCGTTGGTCTCTTCATAGCGTGAAAACATGGAAAATTAAACCCCAACCAAAATTAGTGATTTCACAGTAATTTACATATTTATGATTGAATTCTGAATTAAGCAATAAGTTTGAAAACATGGTTTAATGATATGATACTGTATAATGACAACTCTATATTTGCTGTAATCTACCAAAATGCAGATTCCATTTTAATACTAAGATAATGTTTCAACCTGTATATTAAAACGGCAACTTGAAACGTTCAACTCCAAGGTTTTAAACACTTCGAATTCTGTGACTTCTAGGTACCTTTTTAAATTCCATGAAATTGACCACTTCCTTTGACGATACGTAAACCTTACAAACTTCTGTCTAGGCGCTATAAACAAGACACATTTGGACTTCAGTGGGATCAGGTGACACACGGATTATAATACCCCTCCCTCGTACAACAAAAAATTAGTACAGTTAACTATAGTAAATACTCTGATATTTTGATTTACTTTGAAGCTTTACTCAAAAACTTATTTTGAAGATAAAGAGTTCTTTAATACATATTATATACCAATGATGTAATTGTTTGATAAATTATGTAAATATAAAAGAAAAAGTTCATTTAAATTTCAGAAAATTACCTCTAGGATGTTCAGAAAATAAAATATATCTATCTGGAATTCATAGTAAAAATAATTTGATTTAAATACATGTATCTTGAAAACTTTGATTATCTACGGTTAGCTTCAGCTTACTTCAGTTTGTATAAACTAACTATAGTTTATAGTTAATTACATTTAACTTTAGTAGTTTTTTGGTAGGAGCTCCCCGGCGATCCATTACCGCGTCATTTTAACAGCAATGATCATACTATTGCATTATTAATAACAATGTTAGAGATTTGTTAACAAACATTAAGCTTGATTAATAACTCATGATTTTTTTCTTTGATGCTGACAATATTCACTGAGCATGATAATACTAATTAATAAAATATGTTAACAAAACAAACGGTTGGCTGTTCCGTCAATAAGTATTTAATGTATCAGATGAGTTATTAATGACAATTCGTTATGTTTCACAATGCTTCAAACATCATAACACTCAGAATCTAAACTAAGATATTTTAATTATTGAGTTCTGAGTGATGTTGAAATTGGTATTTATTGAACAAATGGTTTTAAATCCAGGTTCAAGAGGTCAAATTTGGTGGTACCCAAAGGAAGGTCTTGTAATAAGCAATACACCTTTTAAATACAAAACCAATAGTACAGTCCAGTCATAAAGTAAGGACAAGGTTAAAACAGAAAAACAGATTAACAGACATACAGATAAACAGAGAGGAAAACAGACGGACGATGGGGACAAAAAATATAAAACCCCGAACCTTCGATTACGGGGCATAAAAAATAACATTTCTCCATAATTAAATCAAAATATGCTTTTTATGTAGGACATCATCTTATTAAATCAAGAAATATATTAGGTAATGAATTCAAAACTGTTATACATCTTGGGAAACAAAGCCATACATTACATTAACATTAAAACTTCATGGAATCGAATCTAATTTTGTCCAGAAACTCTAAGTCGAAAATAACGTTATTGTGAGCAATGAGCTCACTAAATGATACCCCGCCTCCGCAATCGCATCATCTCGGGTCTTTCCTCGATTGTATTAACATCACCGAATGTTACAAATTTATACATTTCCTGTTTATTCAAATATAGGATAGACGAAGTTAGAAGTCCCTTCTATAGTACTTTTAGGTAATAGCATTACACTGAATAAAGTTTAACTCCACATTCCGCAGATAAAAATTCTCCATGCATTTATTTCAAAGATCGTGGAAAAGGGGGGTTGTCATGGCGTCTACCTAGTATATTCGAGGTCGTTTTTCCGCTTGTCGGGAAGGCCCAAGAAGATGCGATTACCCGCCCCCGATATGTTTATAATGGCAAGGGCCATGTCTGGCTTTGGGAGACTCGTAATAAGTGTCAGATGAAAGAATTGAAATTGGAGATACTCAATGAAATTCTGAAATAAAGCATCTTTGATAGTATGAATATCATTCTAATAACAGCGTGTAACTTTGCTTGATCGAGCGTGTTAAAGTTTTACATGTTGATTACCATATTACTTATCAATTGGTTGTTTGATTTCAATGAAAACAAAACTACTTTGCAAATGAAATACAGTACTCAGCGCTACCACTTACAATATTGACCAATCGCATTGAATGATTGTTCACGATAATGCAGTAAACAGCAATCACATATGAATGGGAAAAGCAAGTTTTAATCCTTATAATGATGGGATTGATCGCCATATACATAATTTTTTTCAAAGTGTAGCTTTACTTATTTCATGCTTAAAATGTTCTCATACATTTCAGGACAGTAAACATTCTTTGACTGACCACATGTTGCTGGTGACTACGGGTACAAATGCCGCGTTGGAAACAATCATTCAAAACCATTGGTCAGTGTTTTCAGGTATTGTTAGATTCTGTGTTTCATATGCGAGTAGCATTGGTTTCATTAAAATCAAACATCCAATCGATGGATGATATGGTACATGTAATCAATTCGTGAAAGTTTACTATGGTCGATCAAGCAAAGTGACACGCTGTTTTTGGAATGATAGTATTAAATTTTATTCTACATACTCTCTCAATTTTCAAGCCGTTGGTGGGGTGGCGGTATTTAAGGACATGTTACTAAGTGACTTGTTAGAATACATTAATTACAATATTTATTTCCTTTACAATTCTTTTTATTAGGTAAAAATAAATACACAAGTACCAAATAGCAGTTTTACTGACATGTTTCTGCACTATTTTATGGTTTGCCTGATAATTGTTGACCTTATGACTATTTATACAATTTGTAATATTTTTCAGTCTTTTTCACATATGTATGAATACATCTCGTGGCATAAGGTTGTTCCCCAAATCCCGCCACGACACATTTGTACACAGTCCTGTTCGCCAACGTCATCAGGTTCCTCGGGGTGCCAATTAGAAAAGGAAGTGACGTTATTGTTGTTTTCTGTCCAGACAAATAGGTTCTCCTTGTCAATATCGTTTGCACCTATCCAATGTGAACAACAATCCCACCAAGTGTTACATCCAGCTGAAAAATGTGAACTGACGTTAAATAATATGATAATTAAGGAAGCGTAATAGTGCCACTTGGACATTTATTTTTTTTTTAAATTTATTTCTATACTTAAATCTGACAATTATGCACTTTAACCTGTAAAGTTTACACTTTATTCTGTAAATTTGTACAATTTCATCTGTACAATTTCCATATTTTTTCTGTAATTTTTACACTTTAATCTGTAAAATTTAAACTTTATTAGTACAATTTACACTCTATTCTGTACAATTTACACTCTATTCTGTAAATTGTACACTTTATCTGAAAAATTTACACTTTATTCTGTAAATTTTACACTTTAATTTGTAAAATTTACACACTTGAATCTGTTAATTTTACACATTTTAATCTGAACAACCTGCACTGTATTCTGTTATAATGAAACGGTCGTTTCGTGATGTTATACCTATGACATTGAAAAATGGATAAAACTGAGATGTTCACACTTGTCTGCATATTCTTTATTTTTTTTTTTACATGTACATGTTTATATGATAAATAAGGATGTGCGATTTACTCATGGGCCTATTAATTTTCCCCCAGCAAAATATCGAGAATCTGCTTTCAATTCAGTAAATTTCTTTAGTTGAACTATAGTGGGATGAAAAATAAAAATATATATCTCGAGGATTTTTTTCTCATTTGCAGTTTAGATTGATATTGCAAGTTTATGGTTCTATGATCATGATGATATAAAATATAACATTCAAATTACTGTCATTTTTGAAAGGTTGCAATAAAGAAACGTCATTGAATCAAATGATATAAATTCCTTTGCTGTTCCAAAATTTATGAAAACTCATATACTTTAATTATCTATATATGAATATACTTTACTAATTTATGATTATTTAAAAATTTCAATTCAAAAAGTAATTTAATTGTTGTCGGTAATAGTATACATGTATAATGTAATACAATTAATGCTTTCAATAATTGAACTGCTGAGCGCATTAAACGAATTTGCGTATGATGATATCAATATCATATTCATTGAGAATATATATGCATGTGTGTTTGATTTGTTCTTCACTAATGTTCTAAGAAAGTCTTACTTGTATCAGTCATACTACTTTGTTTATTACTTGCATTAAGTATTTATTATTTAAAAAATCAGAATTGAATTTTATCATGCATAATTCATGGTTCGTTGGCTTTAAAATGTGTTACTTACGATGTATAAAGTTGCCAAATTAACTACATGTTAAATTAAACAGATAAATGTGTAAATTTTACAATTTAAAGTGTAAATTATACACCTTAAAGTGTAAAATTTACAGATTAATATGTAAATTTTACAGATTAAAGTGTAAATTTTACAGATTAAATTGTAAAATTTACAAATACGTTGTATTTCCATTAGTGAACTCTTCAGAAATAAAGGCGCGTTTGGTCGTGTGACTGGGACAGCATGGCATTGCGGATAATACAAAACATGCCAGTATCAATCCAATTTTAAATGTTTAGTGCATTTGTCATTCTAACTAAAAAACAGATGAACTAAAAGACATATGAAAAAGAGCGAAAACCCTAACTTTATCGTCCATTATTAAAAACACGACATTTCCGAGGTATGTGTATTGACTTTAAATGTATCATTACGATAAATAGATACATACGATCACCAAAAGATGGAAATTATTATCCTCGTCATCTCTACTCTTGATTTAAATAAAGTCCACAACAATAAAATATATCATATGCACTTTGTTAGGATTTGTTCATCGACATTCAACGTGTTGTTTACATGTTTATGTTTCGTTTGTCCCAGAAATCTCGCGTGATTTGTACATTCTCTGACTTTTTCACAAAAGAGCGCACTAAGAATTATAACTCTTCCATGGTGGAAAAAGAAGTATTAAAGAGTAAGTTTTACAGATAAAGTGTACAATTTGCATATTAAAATGTAGAATAAAAAAATAAACTGTCCACGTGGCACTAATACGCTTCCGTGGTTACTAAAAGTGATATTCAATGGTGGATTAGAACTAGTTATTCTGAAATAATTTATTTTCGCGGGTTTAGGTTTCGTTGTTTTCGAGGTAAGACTCACAAATTCATGTCCACCAAAAAATGTGAAATTTCCTATAGAAAACTATTCAATACTTACCTATCCACGAAATCCGGCACGGAACAGTCACCCGAATACGACACTATGATAGGTTATATTTGATTGCTACATGTAGGTCTTAAAATTTTAAATAATATCTACATAACTAATACATCACTGACTATCATCCAATATCCAACTACCCACTGAATAGCATCCACATGAATAATATAACCTACTACTGAATATCGTCCAATACCAATACTTTAATTTGCAACAATTAATATGCAAATAAAATCTGAATATGGTTTACAGAAATCAAAGTATACCTTGTGTATTCCTAGAGGAGTCCTTGACGAGTAATTGCACTGTCGGACTTAGAAGGGGGCCTGCCCACTTTTAATTCCAAAAAAATACACAATATTTGATAAAACAATGTTTTTTGGAAGTGGCTTTGGCCACCACTGAATTAAGAACTTTTGTGCAGCCGTTTCGGTGTTTAATTACAAAAATTATTAATTTATAGGTAAAGGTGAGTGTAATTATATGTTTCCAGAAAATAGAATAAAACTGAAAGTTTGCATATCATTCAAAAAATTAACACACCAAGGACCTAAATTGTCTTATTTTAGTTACATAAAATAAAAGTAAAATATTATTTTCATGTAAATTGCTGATTCTAGGCGCCAAATGGGAATAAATTAACATTTGAAATACCTTAAGTTTAACCCATTACTAATTTTTCTTTGCTGCATAAAACATGTAAAATATTAAATTCAAATAAATACGTTAATACATTATAACAACCAAACAGACAGATAAACAAACAAACAAAATGTACCAGGATCCAAGACTGGCAGAAAGGTTTCTGTTAACCATGAATTTTCTTCTTCCGTTTCTATGGTAACCAAGTAGGACCCTAGCTTTTCACACTCATACTGAAATAGACAAGAGGATTCATATTTTCAGTAGGCTCAGTATGAAATCGTTGCATTTAATTTCATGAGTATGTGTGTGACTTTCAAACGTTTCATAACAGCAATTGATTAATCCTTTTTCTATGTTCCTAAAATACATTGAGAGAACATTTATAGGAGACAAATTATACCAATGATATTCCTAGAAAAGCCAGACACATTGGTTATTTGACGGAATTGTGTGTTAAACCCCCTCCTGTTTCAAGTTTTCAAAATATGGCACACGTATATGAATTTTATGAAAAATTAAACTGAAGAGGGTAGATCTATTCTCTTGTTTCATGGAACCAAGAATCATGTACCCTTCTTCCTTTTAAAAAGGACAAAGCCTGAAATGATTTAAGAGATATATAATTCTAACCTTAGCATCCCACCAGTTGATGCTAGTCTTTATATGTAAGTAACTATGCGTTCCATACGACAGCCAACCTTCTCCTATAAACAAAATAAATGTAGCAGTTTACAGTAACTTTAAATCTTTTATTTATTGTTGTTTGTTAAGATGATAGAATTTTATTGTAACATAACAAAACTTTGTAGATTGAAAATGAACTTTTTTTCTGGATCGGGATTGTACACGAACAAAATTAGAATGTCTATTTGTACGACGATATATGTGATATATATATTATATACCCGGTATACATTTCATGAATGCGTGAACTTAAATCCATCATCGGAATACTTTTTGTCATAACTAATTTAACATAATTATAATCAACTCGACTATATCAAATTCCAAAAAGTTGTTATACATGTATATAATGAATAAAATTTGATTTACCAATTAAACTTTACAATATGGTGTATTGAATTAAAATATTACTTTAAAATAGATAATTAATTAAAGCTCTAAATAAGTCTTTCGTATGCATGCAATTACGTTGTAACATGCAATTAAGTCTTAGCATATTATTGTTATCAAAGTTATGTACCTTTCATTACTGCTGCGAAATACCTCCACCCTGTTTAAAAACAAATCCAACGAATCACATGATTTAGAATAAAGATGGCACGTCTTTGTCTTGGAGTTGTAGGCGAAACAGTAACAGTCCTCCCAACACATGGCGGAGCATTGAGTTGGAGAGTTAGAGTCATGCAGCGACAGAAGAGAATCAAAAATGTGTATGTCATCTAAGAAGGTATCCGCGGTATAATAAGACTGGAGGAGGGTGGCCCTTGTCCATGTCAACACGGAACACAGAATCAGGCAGAGGTTGTATCCAAGCATTGCTACTTAAGATTCAAAGCATAAAATTAGCAATAGTAATTAAGTTGCAGTTTTAAGTAAGAATCTTAAAAAATTTCGAAAGTAATTAGATTATAAGAAGTATTGTCAAATATATTTCCATCAGACCATCTGTAAAAAAAATGTTCGATTGCCCTCTCCTGACAGATTGACTAAAAAGGCCCGACTCAATTTTTTTTACATTCCAGGACACTTTATCAGTATTTATTTTTATTCCTCTTCCCCCATCCATAAATATGTTGAAATCTTCTGGAGAAAAAAACTTTCCCACTTACCATCCGACTAAATAATTTTACCCTGATTCTGGAGAAGGCAATTGAACGATATTTTTATCATTAGGATTATGTTCAATCATTACTTTTCCTGTTGGACAACTATTCGTGGTCACTTTTCACGAAATTATTTCCCATCAAACGTTTTTTTTTATGTATATCTATTCACGGAATCTTCCGAAAATAAGAATAAAATTTAATTAACAACAAAATTATATCCCACGAACCATAAAAAATTTGCTTACCCACGACCATTGACTCCTATCAAACAAAATGATACTTCAGAGTGAGTAGGATGCCACTTCTATATTTCATAAATATATTCTTCATGAAAGTCTGGCACCTAGCCAATATAACCTTCATGTAATTGTGATACCGCTCGTGCATATCCGTAATTTATTATATATTTTTGTTGCCAAAGGGACAGTGTATAGATTTCTTGTTTATATTAAAAAACATCGCAATTTCCATTGACCCCTGAGAATTGTACCAATTTACTCAGTCGCTCTTTAAAACAAGAAATTCTAAAATATTAATTTTTTCTCGGGAAGGATAAAATCAGGCTTTAAATATTTGAGATAAATTCTTTTAAATTATTTTCAGCTGAGTAATGATCACGAAAAATTTTTAATGACATTTCAGTGACTGAATCCTTGAGTCAAAAGTTCAACAACTTGCCATGGATGTATCATGATTTTGGCCGTTGGTATCGGTCTGGATAGCTCAGTCGGTGGAGCACCTGACTAGTAATGTAGGGTTCCGGTGTAACGTTGAATATTGACCCGAGTTGAAAATTGACCCGGGGTTCATTTTTCAATGTTGAATTTTGAACCAGGGTGTTTTTTCAACGTTGAAAATTGAGACCAAAAGTCGTTGAATATATACCCGGGGTCATTTTTTAACAGCTTGATATTTTTTTCTTATGTCTATGATCCCAACAAGTTGAAAATTGACCCTGTTGAATATTGACCCCACCTCAGAGTTTCAACATTTTTTGAACTGGGATGTGCTTTACGGTATTCATCAGTATCTCTATATTTATATTTTGGTTTTAATTTTTCCCTTTTTAAGAATAAGAGAAATAAACCTATCATCCCGTGTATATATGTACATTTTGATAAGTACACGATTTTAGTTATTTTCAAGCATGTTAACTTTATTTTTAAACAATACTTTCTAAAATCCAAAGCATCCATAAATAACTACAAAACGTCGATCATGAATAGAGGCATAAAATCCTGGAAATCCTATCTAGTCAATTGAGTGTAAAAAGTAACAAAATTTATAGCAACAAAATTAGAATGAAAGACATTGGTTAAAATGAATCCAATATATTAAAGGTTATATTTGTAAAAAAAGATCAATATAGTGACCATAACACGTACAAGTAATGCTGACTTTAAACAAAGTTGGTGAAATCAGTGTAACAAACTTATCTGTCAGGAGCCTGTCTCAGGCTTAGAAATGATTGTTCTCGGAGCATACATGTAACCTTGAGAATGAGTACAAAGCTTACAGTCTGGGATGTACTAGAAAAACTACTCTTCTCGCCATCTTTGATACCAACAATAAAAAAAACTTCATTTGTTAAAAAAAAACAACTAAAAAGCGCATTCCTCTTTAAAGAAACCAAGGGATAGAGAGAGTGAGGGTCCTCGAGTTTTTGTCGTAGGCTGGGAATGGTGTCAAATCCGGCTAGTTTCCCTTTTTGTTTGCTCGTTTGTTTGTTTGTCTCGTTTATTTATTTTGTGTACAGATATGCTTTTTGTCACAATATTTCAGGGGGTTTTGACACCATTCCTCGCCTACGACAAAACTCTAGGACCCCCCCCCCTCCTCTCTCTCTCTTCGTTTCTTTGAAAAGGAATGCGCCTTTTAGTTGTTCTTTAGTTGTTTAGAACAAATGAAGTTGCAGTGACGGTGCTTTTTTAATTGTTGGTATCAAAGATGGTGAGAAGTGTCCATTGTCCAAACTAGAAGTTCAAACTCGAAAATTTCATTTGGGGGGGGGGGATCCAATTTCTTTTCTTTTTTAAGCATTACACTTACTCTTCTTTCTTTGACTACACTGTTACATGCCTGTGGAAATGGGGGGTCTAAACCAAATTCACATTGTTCAAAGCCTATATTTATGTCTATCTTTGCAAAAAAGGGGGAAGCATCCTTAGACCCACCCTTCCTAATCACAGTTGTGAAAACCATGTCATAAATATGTGTTTTTATGCTGTTGAATTTTGAACCGGTTTCATGATCAAAATTCCACGACCCGGTTCAGTTTTCAACGGATTAGAGTCTAAATTCAACACCTTTGGTCTCACTATTCAACGTTGAAAAATGACCCCCGGGTCAATTTTCAATCAGGGTCAAAATTCAACGTTACACCGGTCCTGCCACACATTTGTTTCCCTCTCCTGTTACAGATTAATGAATAATATGGAGGTAACAAACAGTATTCAAGATCAAAAGTCCATAAAACAGTACAAAATAGGAGCAGTGCAAACACGGACCTCCAAAACATCGGAGGTGGGGTCACTTCGAAACGATTTTGTTGATTGTATTTTGTTGAACATCCCTCTCGAGAATATCGCACTCATATAGACACACCACCATTTTTTGTCCTATACTTGGCACTCTGAGATTTTGCATTGAAAATAAGAACCAAATAAATTAAAAGACGCCCTTTCTTTGCTTGTCTACCCATCCTGCATAAAAAAATATTTATTTTGAAAGTAGTTTGCTCTAGATCTTGTGCTAAAGTTATGATCAAGTCTAATGTGCTTGATTAAGGATATATGGAGATAACGAACAGTATTCAATATCAAAGACTATCAAACTATACAAAAATAGAAGCAGAACAAACACAGACCTCAAAAACATCAGAGGTGCATGGGACCAGGTGTCATGGAATAGAGAGCATCTCCTGCTGACCGGTCACACCCGCCGTGTGCTCTTTGTCATGATCGGGAAATAAAGGAAAAATCCGATGTCTATTCAGTATATAAATAATGGACTAACAATTAGAATGAAAAACGTCAGTCAGCATTTGACTCGATGATAAATTTAAAACACTTATTTTATACCTAAACAAATACCAGCTAATTATTTGGTGTCTCCCCCAGAATGTTATTTGGAAAACAAGGTACGGATTCACTATAAATCAGTTTTTTTCCTATAATATGAAGGTGCTGTAAAAAATAAAACTTCTGTTCTCCAAATAAATAAAATTCAATGCAGTAATATCATACAGTTTATCCTTTTAAATGTTAATTGTAAAGTCATGAACTTGTGCATAATTACCCCGTATTTACTTAAAAGGTTATAGAAGACATCAATTTTCAAAGAATTTTCTTTACAAAAAGAAAACCACAAAAAACAAACAAACAAACAAACAAATGTTGGAAAAAGGGAAGGAATAAACATTTTCTTTACATCATTTAAAAGAGGTCCATGTATATTGAAAAGACCTTAAAACACCTTTAAAAATCTAATATACATGTATTGAGATATCTGAAACCAGAAAGATGCCATTCCACTCTCCTCCTTCAAGACATAATCTGTCAAGATTTGTTTACATTCATAGCAACAACTTATTTTTAAGCCAATTTTAAAACATTTTGAAAACACTAAATTTGTAGGGCATAATAAAGCCAAAACTATACTGACCTATGCAAACTGTACATTTTTTCGTTCAGTAAAGAGCAATAGTTACTATTTATTTGCTAAATAATCTACTCATACAATTTCCATTGAAAGAAAATGAGGTAGCTTTCTCACTATTTGGAAAGCAGTAATTAATAGAGGTTTAAACACGCTTCTTTACTGGAAACTACAAACATGTTTATATGCTTTCATGCCACTGGAGAAAAATGTTTGGATACATTTAACGAAAAAGGTTTTGCTTAAGTACCAAAACACACACATCCTCACACACACATTTAAAGTAAAGCAGACAAAAAACTTGTAAAATCTAAAGGTGGGATAAGGTGAGATGGAGGATCGAGTATCCCCTCTCATTTAAAATACATGTACAGCTCCGTGCACTTTATAACTCAGACACGTGGTTTTTCGCACAAATTACATGTAACGTCACATTGAGATGTCGCAAAATTCTATAATGAAGCATCAGTTCACAATATATTTTATAACTTAATTTTAATTTTATTTCGTTAACTTTAAACATAATTCACACATATTGTTTATAGGATTTTGATATGCTCTTGGTTCATAGTTTATGAGAGTTCCCAAATTGCTTTGAATGGATTCTCGTCAAATGCAGATGTCTTTATTTCCGTTTCTTTTAAAAGCTGTCCTTGTCTAGACACAATTACACTGCAGCTCATGTACTTTCCATAATGTCTGTACATTAATATGAATCTAAAGCCCAAGATGATAACAGTATTTCACCTGCTTGGCTGCTTTCCATGTTAAAAAGCTGATATTTTTTCAGGTTTATTTTCTGACATCTAGTTTCATCAAGTATACTTCCCACCGCAAAATTTTAAAGTTTCGGTCGTTTATGTTAAAGAAATTTCTCAGATTTTCTGAATAATATCACGACTTATATATTGCTACATGTATAGCATTTTACACGAAAATGTCATTTAAAGACTAATTTAATATGGAATTTATTGGAACAAAGAATCCCTGGACCCGTTTTATAAACACATCCTTGCAATTTCACAAATTGTAACTTTATCCTTAACATTTAAGAAAAGAAGTGATTTTTATATTAATAATTTAAATATGTACTTAACATTTTAAAACGGTCCTGTCATGGGATTTCTTGACTTATTTAAAAGATATCGCCCCACAAATACCGCCCTGTTTAGAGTTTGTATGGAGTTTACATACTTCATGTTAACGGGCCAATAACTATGGTGTCCGGATAGGGCCATTTGCAAAAGCTCACAGCGCGTTCAGACACGCCGACGCGCTAACACACAACGCACTGTCACGCTAACACAAGTTTGCACAACACGTCGACGCGCTAACGCACAACTCGCAAAGACGTGAAGTGTGTTAGCGCGACGGCGTGTTGCTTGAAATCGCGTTAGCGTGACAGCGTGTTGTGCGAGAACGTGTTAGTGTGACAACGCGTTGTGTGTTAGCGCGTTGGCATGTTGCTTGAAATCGTGTTAGCGTGACAGCGTGTTGTGCGAACTTGTGTTAGTGAGACAGCGTATTGTGTGTTGGCGCGTCGGTGTGTTGCTTGAAATCGCGTCCGCGTAACGGCGTGTTGTGCTAACTCGTGTTTGCGTGACAGCGCGTTGTGTGTTTGCGCGTCGGCGTGTTGCTTGAAATCGCATCCGCGTGACAGCGTGTTGTGCTAACTCGAGTTAGTGTGACAGCGTGTTGTGTGTTTGCACGTCAGCGAGTTGCTTAAATCGCGTCAGCGTAACAGCGTATTGTGCGAACTCGTGTTAGCGTGACAGCGCGTTGTGTGTTAGCGCGACGGCGTGTTTTTTTTTTAAACGCGCTGGTGAGCTTTGGCAACTAGCCCTATCCAGACACCATAAATAACGGAGTCCATAATGCGAATTTTTACGCACAAACGATAAATATGATAGATAACACTATATACTCAAATATTTCAGAATATTCATAGTGTTTAAATTATCTGAAAGCAATTGTTTTAATTTTATATAGTATTTGGGTGAGATAATTTCTGCATTTTTCAAGGCAGCTTCAACGACAAAAACCTCATTTGGAAAAAATTCTGTCAATAAATATTTATAAATTGATGATTGAATGTCAGTCCTTCATCGTAATTATTTACTGCATAAATATCACAGGGTGTAGCTTACCTCAATATCGCACGGGACATCGTAGAATTAGACGTAAGCATGATAAAAACGCTTCACGTTTGTATTTTCCGAGTGCGGGAAATCAATTGTGACGTCACCCGAAAACATAAACATTCAAAATTATCTAAATAGAGAGAATCTCTGCTACTAAACAGAAAAAGTATTAATTTAAAAAAATCTGCTTCAGAAATTTATCACAATACATTGACTGTGACCTGTTTATTATGAAATAAAACTGATCATAACGGGTGTGTGTGTACTTGATCTCGCTGCAATGAAAATTCAAACACTACGTCTATGACGTCACTGACGTCAGGGTAAAAAGAAACAAATTTGTGGATTGGACAACTTAACAATCATATCTAAATGATGGCAAGATCTTTAAAAATGTTATTAATAATAATTTCTAAAATTAAATATTTAAAAAACAATTTTAGAATTTAGAATAAAATTACACAAGACTGTTGATTTTAACAACGTTTAACATGTATATCACCGATTATGACGTAATATGTCTTTATAGTCATGTGACATGTGCCCTGTCTCCCCTTAAGTATTAAGAATATCTTTTTTTATAAATGTGAAAGTGCAAGAACGTGTCAATAAAAGGCGACGGAAATTCGAAGTTTCAATAACGGGATGAAATGAGCTTCTATTGTCCCACGCTTTCGCAAAAGCAAGGGGACATTAAATCTCATTCGTCTGTCAGTCAGTCTATCCGTCACACAAACTTTAACATTGCCCATGCCTTTAGTGGAGCTTTGGCTTTCATATTTTACATGTGAATTCGTAAGGACGAGATCTTTCTTTGGGTACCACAAAATTTGACCATATGACCTTGACCTTTGACCCACTTGTACACAAAAATTCCTAATTTTGAACGGTAGGTGGTAGGGATTTCATATTTCACATATATTCTTTGTGGCAAGACAGACATTTCACTGGATACAAACAACTTTGACCTTGGAGATTTCTGTACTTATGGAAAAACTTTGTCCTTGACCATAATTTTTGAATGGTAAGGGCCAGGGCTTTCATACTTCACATGTTATTCTTGTGGCAAGACCTTTTATTGGCCCTTTCATAGGATACCAACAACTTTGACCTGAAAGTTTGACCTACTGTAAAAAAAAGTTAAACCTTGGCCATAACTTTTGAATGGTAATACTTGTAACAAGACCTTTCTTAGGAAACCAATAACTTAGATTTTTGATCTTGGTGTTTGACCTCCCTTTCAAAAACTTATATCCATGGCCATAATTTTTGCACAGATGATGCCAGGGCTTTCAAAGAAATAAACTTCGGTGATAATTTCTAAATGACATATGCTAGGGCGCTCATATTTGACAAAATAAAACATAAAATATGCCAAAAAATGGCATCTCACCCGCAATGACACCAAAAGTGGGGAACCACAATTCTTTGAATTTGCTGGTTATATTTTAGAATGAAATATAACAGCAACATGCAAGTCATAAAATTATACAGAAAACTTGAGAAAATATTTTTAAATCTGTATCCAAGCGCCTTCAAGTTAATAAACATCTTGCAGCACATGCTAGCAAATCAATTGCCATACAGGATAAATGATACAAACAGATTTTTATCAAAAGTCTTATTCTTTTAAGTAAAATGATCAAGTAAAACTGAAAAAGACTTGAATTCAGTTTAACTCATTCATTTTCACAATAATTTCTTAAAATTTAAATATCATGTTATCTAAAACAAAAATAGGCCAAATATTTTAATACCAGACCAGAAACCCATATTTTTCTTTCTGTTTGTATCGTTTGTTCTTGGGGACTCCTTTAACTTTGTGTATTAATGATGTTGATTTCCATGCATTTCTCTCAGACAACAAAAAAAAAAAAGAATTTAAGGAAGATGCTGAGTACCATGATTCAAATCTTTTTACTTCTACCACACAGTGGTAACAATATTGTTGGACATAATTAACCCTAAGAAACCCCTTCCTCTGGATCATCTTTAGTTTCAGGAACTAGGACAGTATCCCCAGATACCGGGTCTAGAGTCAGTTTCAGGTGAGTGTCATTAGGATTGGCTGTCATTATGTCCGGTGACGGTACTAACATTGGCATACCATTGGTAGGGTTTATAACTAATGTTAGATTTACTGTTGGTATAGGCTCCTCTAGAAGATTCCTTAATACCTGTGGTTCGTCTGGTAATGTTTGATTTAGTGTTGGTGTGGGATCATCCAAAAGATTGCTTAATACGTGTGGTTCCTCTAGTTCCTCCTTTATATTGTTTTGTTTTACTGCTGGCTTAGATGATTTAACAACAGATAATTGCATAGGTTCCTCAAGAAGATTCCTTAACACCTGTGGTTCCCCTATTAAGTCATTTTGTTTTACTGTTGATGTTTTGACAACAGGCAATTGCCTAGGTTTCTGAACAACGGACCTTAAAATATTTGGCTTTTTAGGACTCACTGTCACAACACTTTGATTGAATAAGGGCTTAGACTTTTGGGTTTCTGGCGATTTCTTAGGTTCCTTTGTAGTTGTCCCCAAAAATACTTGAGGTTGTCCTATTAATTCAGAATGATATTCATGCTGTTTTAGTGTAGGCTCAAACTTTTGGGCAATGGGTGATTTCTGAACATCTGGCCTCTGAGAATTTAATATTTGTGGAGCTTCTATTACTCCAGAGTTTGATGATTGCTTAGACATTTGGACAACAGGCATTTGCTTAGCTTTCACATCTGAGATCTTTGGTCTTCTATCTTGCAAATTCCTCCTTATTCTTTTTCGTTTTAATTTTCTCTTTGGTTTTAAATCAATAGGTTTGGGCTTAACATTTTGGAAACTTGGTATCCGTCTACTTATATCTGATAGCTCACGTATTAACTTAAGCTGCTGCTGTTTGGGATTTAGGACCTCAACAGGCGTCAACATACTGAAATTTGGAATCTGTCCGGACTCTTCATGATCGATCGTTTTACTTGTCAGTTTTCTAGTATCACAACAATCACTGGTAGATGTCTCATCTGTACATTTCACTATTGACTGTACTTCTGTATCACAACAATCACTGGTTGATGGTTCATCCATACATTTCACTAACATGGGTTTACCACTAACCGGGTCTATAGTGAGTCTAAGATTTATCAACGAAGACATGCCTTGGCCACTTGGATTCACTGAATCTGTTGCTGATGACACATCTGTCTCCATTTGATTTGATTTCATGTCAGACGACCCCTGATTTACATTACCAAAGTCTGGAGCTGTTGTGGGGTATCTGACTAAACATGGTATACCTGTATGTGGGTTTATGTCTAACATAAGACTAATTGGTGGCTTATCTTTACTTACACCTGGCTTCACCTCTATTCCGTTCCCTGTTGTCTGCTCCACTGTCTCACCATTACCTTTACCTCTTGTACTTGTACTTGACTCTGCTGCTTCAGGTGTTCGATTTATTGTATGTATCTGGGGTACTTCTTCTACAGAACTGACATTTGAGTCATGTGATCCACATGATTCAGTTGAATTATTTTTATGTGATAAGGCTTTACTTGAAAGGTGACTCTTGAGGGCTCTAACTCCTTCTGTATTCAAAATCTTTGATCTCTTTTTACGTAAAAAGGATTTTGAAGACTTTGGTTTCTTTAAAGAAGATGGTTTGGGGAACTTTGAATTTGATTTTGTTAACTCTGATTTTGATGAGTCTGGTTTATCAGAACGTATGGAACTCTGTGTGGATGCTGCTGAGATCCTATTGTCTGATGATGTGGATGATGTTGAAGATGTTGGATTATCCAATAAGGATGATTTTGAGGACCTCAGCAACTTCTTTTCCATTTGTTGAGGTGCTTCAGTCCTATCATTTCTGTGTAACTCATAAACATTTAAAAATGTTTCCTTTTCCCTTTGTGGAAGTTTAAATAGAAGTTTCTTTTCTAGCATTGCCTTTTGTGATTCACTCTCATTTGAAAACGTTTTACTCTCTCCTTGTGTGACTTTCCCATTCTCATTACATGTTTTTGCATTGGATGTTTTTCTATAATCATCGAGGCAACTGGTCCGAGTATTTTGTTGTTTAGTTGATCTGTTTGTCGAGTTGTTTTCAAATTCACTCCCCTCTGAAACAGAGCCCAGGGTTTCCGCTAAAGGTACAAAGTTACCTTCTTCTGAAATAGATTTATCTCCCCTTGAATTCAGGAGTTGGATGTCTGTTCTGGGTTCAGAGGACACTATTTTGCATGGAATTGCACTGATAACTTCTTCTTCCTCTTCCTTTATGTAAACATCCTGAAACAGAATATATAATCAATATTTAAATAAATTAACAATTTTGATACAATTCAAAGGAAAAAAAATAGAGTCTGGTTATATAACAAGAAAATATTACACGGTTTTTTATAGTTCTGAAGGCCAAAGAAAAATGAACATATTGAAAAATTACAAAAAGTGACACCATAAGACCTGTAAGTACTGTAAATTGCACAGACTGCAAAATTATTCTCTTTTTATCAAGTCAAAGTTATATTAAGATATAGCTTTGAAACATTAGAAATTAAACTTTTCATTTTCTTTAGTATTGTGATCCTATTTAGAAGAAACTACCAGTCAAAATCATAACTGACAGAAAGTGTGACACGAAGATATTTTTCTTTCTTGCAATATGACATTTTAAAATTAGTGAACTTTTTAAACCTAATTTATCTGATTTAACTGATTAACTTTTTGACCTTGGCAAGTCTCATTTCCTGTCTTCTCTCTTTTAATTCTGTTAAGTGAATATGCCTGAACTTTCTGTTTTGGAGTGACTGTACTTTTTTACATTACACTACCCACCTCTTCTCCACTCTCTGTGTCCGAGTTACTCTCTCCACTGCTGTCATCATCAATAGACTCAGCCCCGTCCTCCACTAAATACAAACAAATACTAATTAATGTGTTCAATATTTGTCAGATGTTTACACTTCATAAAAATTCTTTTGAAAATTATCAATCTATGCCTGCTGTCCTTTTTATGTTTTTAATAATATACTCTTAATTGTTACCAAATTTTGTGTCAAACATTTACAATTTATAAAAATTCAATAGAAATGTATCATTAAATTTTTACTTGTGTGTGTTTGTACAAACTACATAATACAGATGCATGTACCTCTGTATCCATGCCAATTTCATGACCTTAAAAGAATGTTTCACTTTTGCTTCTTTAGACAACCTTATCTAATTTGCAATTACACACCACAAGGTAAGACTTTACTTTAAGTGAAGACTGAAATTCTTAACTTTTTTTCATTTCAAAGATATAGACCAGAGATAATAAAATATTATTAGTTCTAATGAAATGTACCATTTAGCTTTATGTCACAATCTATTTTGTCAGATGTGCCCAGTATTAATAATTCACGTCCTTGGTATAGGATTTGGTATAGAATCTGTTTGATTGGTCAACTTTTTTTTTAAAAACTTGACGGTCAGAGAAATAATCTGTTGCATGAGCAAACAAACAGAAATAAGAAGAAATTACCAGTCATAAAGCTTGCAGTTAGGAGGTGTGAACTATTTACTTCAAGCACATTTGTCATCATAGGTTGTCTTATAATTCAAAATGACACACTAAACTAGAATTGGTAATTAATTAAGCTTACTAAAAACCATCAACAACACTAGTGAAATGAAATTACTGTTGAAACAGATGTTCAAAAGTAAAAATAATACATGTACTTATATCAAAATATATACAGGGTTATTTTTGTGAAACTTTATAACAAATTTTGTTAATAACAAAGCAAAATCACACTCTTGCAACCAATTTCTGATCCGTTTTAATTCACCCAGTCACCGTTTATATTTAAATCCGAAAATATATTTCTATTTTATTTCGCCCCTTTTTAGAAAACCCATTGCATTAATCACTGATGAACTAAGGGCGGTATGGGGTGGAAATAAAATCAGTGGCTGTTCCATCAATGTATACAGTATATCAAAATACATATCAATCTTTTTAATCATGGGTTTCAAACATATTTGAAACTATATAATATAAACAAATTTTGTTTATAACAAAGCAAAATCACCTCTCTTACGCGGGTTAATCAAAATTTCTGATCAGAAATTGAATCAAATGAATCATAACTCTATATAATACATGTAAGTAAATGTATTGTAATGTATAACAACATCTGTAAAACCAATACACACCTTCTAATTCTAATGACATTGCTGTCCTCTCATCTTCTGTTGACATGGGAAAATCTAAAATAAAATTAAACTTTTATAACATTATTACTTTAAATAAACTTTTGATTTAAATTTATCCTGTTGAAGATTTTTTTTGGGTGGAATTTTCTGATAACATATCATTCTAATGCAATTGTTTTGTAGAACACATTTTGATTGGCTAATGCACTGATGTTTGAAGCAGTAAAATGAGCATTAACGAGAGTGAAAGCTTTCATTGTGATGTCATAATAGAGCGACACAAAAACACAATGCTCCGTGACGTAATTTATATAACAAAACTCAACAAAATAAGACGTAAGAAACAAACCAAATGCATGGATTGCATTAGAATGGGAATATCTAAAGTATCTTCAAATTTGGTATTTGTGACTGTTAATGCTGATTTAATGGTTGCAAACATCCATTTTACTGGCTCCGCTTACACGTCACCAGTAAAACTCAGTTTGCGACTATTAAATCAGCATTAACGGTGGCAAATACCAAAGAACTATATGCGGTTTATTGCATATATTTGCCCCCACAAAAGTCAAATTTTGAAAACTTCCTGAAATGTGCTGAATTCAATAAATCGTATGAGAAATATAAATTAACAGAAAATATTATAGTGTCAAAGCAGTGTATTCACAATTTTTGTTTTTATAACGTCACAAACTAGTCTGATTTTATATACTTTTTCAGAAAGTGGACAAAATGGACGAAATTTCAACAATTTTAGCTTTATAATTTATAGAGCGCAAGTTTGTTCAGGAACAATATTGACATATTTCATTGATATTATCATTCTACACATTATATCAAAATACATGTATAAAATATTACATTTTTCCAAAATTCATAAAAAACTGATAAACGTCATTACGTACAATATTACTTATTATTTGCTTTGAAGTCAGCATATACTCCCCTGTTTAAGAACTTAATTAAATATATCTCCATCAAAGTTTGATTTGGGGGGCAAATATTGGTTATTACCGAATAAAGTTCTTTGAAGATAGTTATTCCCTAATTCAAATTAACATTAAAGTACATGCAAAAATTTTTTCTTACAATCATTTTGCTGCATTATTAAATCTGCATGGTCTTACATTTTGTAAATTTTGAGTCCTTTTCAGTGAATTCAATTGATAAAAATTTCAATATTCATTTTTTTTCTCACCTTGATCAGCTTCATCGGCAACATCTGACCTGCAGAAAAAAAAATCAATGGGATTAAATTTTTAGATAAATTTTTTTTTTTAATCTCATGATTACCCATTTCTTCCTTGACTATCACTAATTGGATATTTTTTTTTTATATCCCACAGTTGTGATGTCACAGTGAATTTTGCATAAAACTGATGAAGTTAAATATTGAAATGTGAATTCCTATAATACTAAAATCATGATAAAAAAATTGATAGTGATGGATAATAAATGGATTAATAAAAGAGTGATCCATGATTTTGGTCAATTAGACAAATATGATTTTAAGGCAATTTGTTATGTTTTTTTCTCCTTGCCATGGCCTAGAAATTAAAAAAAAAATACATGATCGACTTGTTGGATAATTTTAAACCATATCCAACTAAAATTATGGTCAATCCTTTATGTAGTCACTGAGAAGGAGATAATACCTATTTAGTAAATTTTGTACTTGGTTTGGCTTTAAAAAGCTCTTATCCTTGTCACTACACAACTATATGACATAGTTATAATCTGGTCACAGGGTATCAGTCCTGCCTGACCAATACACTGTAGCAGGAGAGGAGAAAATTACAGCAAACCAAACAGGGATTTGAACCGGGGCCCCTTGAAAATCCGGTCAGGTACTCTACCAACTAAGCTATCTGGCCACCAGTGATCAAATCCAGCTGACCGCCATATTCCTCTCTCCTTAAAGATCTTTGACCCTCCAGAGACCCTAAACCAGGCTCATCCCTGGCGGGCCTTTCACCTGTCAGTTCCAGGGCATGACATCAATGGCATCAAAATGAAACTGGAGAGGTGAAAAATGCAGCAGACCAGACCGAGATTTGAACCAGGGCCCCTGAATTTCCGGTCAGACAGGTGCTCAACCCACTAAGCTATCTGGACAATGGCGATGGAACCCGGCTGATTGCCACAACACAATACATATGTTGATGTATATCTATTATCAGAGAAATAAATAACATTAGATAGAATGTCCTATCGTTAAAATGATTTATTGTCCTACAGACCCCGTTTACCATGTTTACACTCCTGTTGTATTCTTCACAATCATTTAGGAGATCTGCTCCGATTTACTACACTGCAAGGATATGGGACATATTCTAACTCAACTGTGGTGAGGGCTTGTCCCAAGACAGAAGACACAGTTAGATTATTCTCACTTAAACAGGTTTCCAGCACAATATATATTTGAATTTAAATGTTATACCCTTTTTAAGATAAAGGTATATAGCTTAATAAAGATATATATAGCTTGATTAAGGTATTACAAATACCTTGATCAAGGTATTTTATGTAATGAAAATACAAAAAAAAAATTCTTAAAAAATTAAATTTAAAAGTCAAAATATGAGTTGTGGTCAGTGTGTTCACTTGTGCATGAAAAGTACTTGTGTATCAAAAAGACAGCATAAAAGTATGTCTCCTTATGCGACATGCTTTTATACTGATTTCTTTGTGTGTGAGTATTTTACTTGCATGAATAAATTTATTGACAACAACTCAGAACTTGGCTTTCAGTATTAATTTTATTTTTTTAAGAGTTTTTTTTGTATTTTCATTACATAAAATATATTGATCAAGGCATTTTTAGTACCTTGATTAAGCTATAAAGCTATGTCAAGGTATATTCCTTTATCAGGGTATTGTACTGGAGCTGTTAAATACAAATTCCTATACTCAGACTACCTTTTGTTTGGGGGGGGGGGGGGTCACATTCCACTCCAGCTAGACTCAGTGACAGAATAGTTCACTTAATCAACAATGTGTGAAAGTGTAAGGTTGACCTATTTGATCTAAGTACCTCAGAAGCGGACACTTATCCCCACAGAACCATTCGTGGACTTCCAGCAGGTGCTCGAAAATCTTGTTGTCTGTCGTCCAATGATATCTCAATCTGGAGATCAAATTCCTCCAGGCAATGGCCGCCTCCCCCGTCAGAATGTTCCTGTATTCATTCATCTTTCTTAGAGTAATGGAATTTTCGCCAGGAAGAGTCGCAAAGTATCAAATATTGACGTCTAACTATTGTTGTTTACATTTTTTTGTTTTCGGCCATGTTTTTAAGCCGAATTTCGATCGGGTTTGGGATGCATAGGTTGAGACTAATATCAGGTAAAGTAAATATAGTAACAACCTCTTTATGGAAAATGTGACAAACCTAGAAGATATTTTAAACTAAACAAGTGAAATTGATGCAAATTATCAAAACGACCGTAAAAATATATTCATCATTTAAAAGTACAGTATATTTACCTTCTGTGCTTTTTTAACAATAAAATTTTCAGTGATCAATATTGTCATATCCAAAGAAAATTAATTAAGTCATTGATATTACAGTATCATGGTACTAGATAGGAACGGATAGGAATAATTACTCGAATCAAACAAATATAAAATATTAAAATGAGACTGGAAGTCTGAATGCTGACATTTGTAAAGCGAAGAGGATTACATATTAAAATTGTCAAGTTCATTTATAATTGGGTAACATGAAATTATATACATTGTAGGTGGTGCCTAAAAAATAAAATATTTTGGGGGAAAAGGAAAAAAAAAAACTTTAAAAACCAACGAAGATTAACAAAGAATAATTACCATTACACAAACCCTTCCTCCAAGGAGGTACATGTAGCTATATCGATATTAAATTACACTTTCCGCATTGAAACAATGTGAAAGACCGATATTTATAAGTTCTACGATTTTTTTTTCGTATTTATTCAAATAAGGTGAAAATATTTGCGTTCAAAATCTGTTTTGCTAAACATGTGGTTTATGCTGGACATACGACGGTAAAGCAAAGTTAGTTTAGTCATTTCATTTCGATTACTCTCGTTGTTCATTGCAACGAATTTCTTACTGCATGATTAATCCTTATCATTCGACAGATTATTTTACTGAACTTCACTGTTTGTTTGTTTTTTTTAAAGAATTCTACCCCCACTGTTGAAAATTTTCTTTGAAATATTATGAAGCTCCAACAAACAATATTTGAGTGATTAAGAAATCTATGCAAATATTAATTGTAGAAGATTCATTTTGATACTTTTTATTTCAGGAGAAGTCTTTGAATAGTTGAAAATATCAAACTTTATTTTGAAAGCAAGTCACGTGAAGTATATCTTATTTACATATGTATGTTAAAGCAGCAACACAATTTTAACATTTATACTTTTTATTGAAATAAAACAGAAAAATATCACATCACATTTCTGAGTGCTTTGTTCATCCGAGGAATTACTCTAGCTGATGTGTTTCACGTTGGAACATGGAAAACGTACTGAAATGATATTAAAATTATATATCTATTATTCACCTGTAAAACAGTAAATTTACTTATACATGCACAGCAGACAATTAAATATTCCTTTTAGAAGATTTCTACGGAGAAATATCTATTACTTAAGCTTGAGATTTAACTTTTCCAGTGAAAATGTTTTTGTGTTAAATTTTACTTATATAGTTTTGAAATTCAGATCAAATAGAAAGTTTTATGAAAGAATGAATCGATGAAAAATATAATATTATAGAGAGTTGCAAAGGAGAGAATCTTGACGAATTAAATTCCAAAGAGCAGATCTTAAATAGATGCAAACGTAACTGTGTGGAATTTTTTTTTAAGATGAAATATAAAGAATCACAAGAGAGTGGATCCAGTGTTATAACGGGACAGATAAAGATGTCAGTACAAAGAGAAAAAAAACAAAAGACTGGATAATGATGATACAAATAAAATTGCAAAGGAGCGGATCAATGGCGATATATATACATACAAAGTTACATAGGAGCGGATCAATGAAATAATACATACAGAATTCTGAACGAGCGGATCAATGATTTTCATCCAATCATGCAAATTCCAAGCTTTGTCAATGAGCTTCACGACGTTATTGATGGCGTACAGCGGTGTGCCGGATACTCCTCCTGAAATGTGATACCAAATTTTTAAACAAAAGATAAGTCATAACTAATTATAAAGAATAAACATTGTCGTACAATACATACGCGTGCATGCGTATTTCCAGTCCATACGGACGTGCATGTCGACCCATGGGTCAGCTATCTTCTGAAGAAATGTAGTTTTCTGTAGACCCATCTGGGCGGCTATATCGCCAAGCATGCTGGAATTAAACAATGATATGTAGGCATTTATTGGCATTAAGAAATAATTACTAGTATATGATATCTAAAACACGAAATAATTCAGTTAAACGCATTTGTAACCGCCTAGTTTTCCCCCAAACGGAGTTCCTTAAACTCTTAACTATAGATTGCCTATCGCAAGTGTCAATAAGATAAAAAGTTGAAGAACTGGGATTGAGAAAAACCCAGCAACTAACTCCCACAGGCTATAAAACCCTTTTCTAATTTTCCAGGCTTCTTGAAACTACCGGTATTTATCTATACATTATTGTGTATTATATACAGATGATAGATTCTTCTCCGTAAAAAGAATACCCCCACCCCACCCCCGAATATCACTGTTCAATAGTGCAACATATCACTAATGGGGGAAATCTCTCTTTTAATGTGATCAGTTGAGAAGCAATACTAATAAGTAATTTAACTGCAACTGCATGAATATGACCATTGCACATTTAGAGTATGCACTTGTTGGCTTTTACTTTTTAAGGCTGATTAAATCATCTGGTGAGAGAGATAACTGATAATTGATACATCTATATATAGTATATGCCACACTTAAATTGCATCTCCAAAGGTTTAATTTCGTACCATATTCCCAGAATGTTATACACAAGATTTGCTTGTTTTTCATCTTAATCCTTATCTTGTATAAGGAAATTGATAATTACAGGAAAACAAGCAGAGTGCAGGTACATCTCGCTGTAAGATACACTTACTTGGTAACGTCCGCCTCTGATCGCGTGTGAGTTGCCGGGTTGGAGAGTGAGTAGATGTTGTCGTATACACGTTTAGCCCAGTCGTACACACCATTGGGAGAGGTCGACATCTGGTTAATTACCTCTGTGCCCTAGTAATTGTTAACAAGTTGAAATTAATTAACTTCTAAAATTATTATAATTGAAAAACGACGATGAAATGAAAAAAAAAACTGTTTCACTCATAGAAGAACTTCTAAGTCTAATATTTTAATTTAATTGTTCTTATGAACTGTTACTTTTTTCGCGAAAACTTTATAATTTCATCGTGTTTTCAGAAAGATTTGAATATCTCGCAAAAAAAAAAATGTCGCGAAAATTTAGTGATTCGGTAAATCATAATTGTGAAATGAATATATTAAAAATGTAGGAAAAAGAAGTTAAAAAATATTACCATTGATACAAGAAATGAATTCCTGTGGTAAGGCAATGGGAACATATGAAGACGGAGCGTAAGCACATCCGGTCCGTAGTGATTAGCCACCTGTAACAGCGTAGGAAAAGCCTGCTTACTGTCGGGACACAGCGGATCAAAGAAGGCGTCGATTGTCACAGCGGTGAGGTTAGTTCCTGTTCCATAGGCGTATACATACCCCAGGGTGCGCGGAGGAATAGGAACTTCCTGCGCATGGGCAAATGCCGAAATAAAAACAAATACAAAGAAGCTGATGATACCCATGATAGTGTAGGTTTTAAGTGACCAGAGTCGTTGACGATCTTTATTTTAGAAGTGAAAACATCGACGTCCTATTTCTCGTGGTTTCCCAGTAGGCGAAGATCCTGGATCCTTAAACATGTTACAAGTAACAGCTTTTTAAAAAGCTTGCCTGACTAAATCAATCAATTTATCTGCATGAAGAGTGATAAACCTTTTGAGCAATACCTTGTGAGTTTAAAAAATATCCTAACTTTATATTTTGAGAACCTTATGTAATTTGAAATCTTGATTTTGCTGAACTTGTAGAAATATCATCTCTACACTGTATACTAAAGAACTTTGTAGTTGAAGGGGGGGGGGTCTGAAAGTGGAGTGATCTGCCCTTGGATCTAAATTGATTTCAAGGTACATTGTAACACCTACTATAAAATATGTTATCAAATCACGCATTGTGAACATTTTAAAAGATGGATATAATTAAAAACACATTTTGTTGGAGTGTATTTTCTCCTTTAAAGTTAACAGTAGTATAATGTGTGTTCATTGTTTTTTAGCTCTACTGGCCAGAGACCAGAAGAGCTTATGCGATAGTAATGCGTCCGTCGTCCGTCCGTCTGTCTGTCTGTAAACAATTTTTCAAAATGCTACTCCTCCTACAGTTTTGGTCTGATTTCAATATAACTTGGCACACAAGTAGACTACACTAAGATACATAATTCTGTGTATCGGTTTTTGATTTCGATGAACGGTGTTGCCGTGGTTACTAAAAATAGAAATTTCTGTGAAATTCTTTCAAAATGCTACTCCTTCTACAGTTTTAGTCTGATTTCAATATAACTTGGCACACAAGTAGACTACACTAAGATACACAATTCTGTTTATCGGTTTTTGATTTCGATGAACGGTGTTGCCGTGGTTACTAAAAATAGAAATTTCTGTGAAATTCTTTCAAAATGCTACTCCTTCTACAGTTTTATTCTGATTTCAATATAACTTGGCACACAAGTAGACTACACTAAGATACATAATTCTGTTTATCGGTTTTTGATTTCGATGAACGGTGTTGCCGTGGTTACTAAAACTAGAAATTTCTGTGAAATTCTTTCAAAATGCTACTCCTCCTACAGTTTTAGTCTGGTTTCAATATACTGTAAACCAACTTTTATTCGCGACGACTTTATTTCGCGATTTACTAGGGATAAACTAGTTCGCGACGATTAATTTTCGCGATCAAGCCTTTTGGATCTCTAGTTTTATAGACAAATACATTTTAAGGACCGGTTCGCGGCGAGAAATATTCGCGATGACGAGGCTCTCGCGAACTTCGCGAAAATTTCTCGCTCGCGAATAAAAGTTGGTTTACAGTAACTTGGCACACAAGTAGACTTAACTAAGATACACAATTCTGTATATCAGTTTTTGATTTCGATGAACGGTGTTGCCGTGGTTACTAAAAATAGAAATTTCTGTGAAATTCTTTCCAAATGCTACTTCTTCTACAGTTTTAGTCTGATTTCAATATAACTTGGCACACAAGTAGACTACAATAAGATACATAATTCTGTTCACCGGTTTTTGATTTCGATGAACGGTGTTGCCGTGGTTACTAAAAATAGAAATTCTGTGAAATTCTTTCCAAATGCTACTCCAAATACAATTTTAGTCTGATTATAATATAAATGTGGCATGCAAGTAGACTGCACTAAGAACATAAAGAGACTTAATCAAGGATCATTATTCTATTTATTGCTGTTGAAAAGTTTCAATTTCCAACTGCTTAAGTACTTTTCTCTTCCTTTGCTATAAGTACAAACCAGTAGAGCTTCAGTCTCGACAGAGACCTGGTTTTTTAGCTCTACTGGTCAGAAAGAGCTTATGCGATAGTAATGCGTCCGTCGTCCGTCCGTCTGTCTAGCTGTTTGTCTGTCCGTCTGTAAACAATTTTTCAAAATGCTACTCCTTACAGTTTTGTTCTGATTTCAATATAATTTGGCACACAAGTAGACTACACTAAGATACATAATTCTGTATATCGGTTTTTGATTTCGATGAACGGTGTTGCCGTTGTTATTAAAAATAGAAATTTTTGTGAAAATCATTCAAAATGCTACTCCTCCTACAGTTTTGGTCTGATTTTAATATAAGTTAGCACACAAGTAGACTACACTAAGATACATAATTCTGTGTATCGGTTTTTGATTTTAATGAACGGTGTGGCCGTTGTTACTAAAAATAGAATTTTTGTGAAAATCATTCAAAATGCTGCTCCTCCTACAGTTTTGGTCTGATTTCAATATAACTTGGCACATAAGTAGACTACACTAAGATACATAATTCTGTGTATCGGTTTTTGATTTCAATGAACGGTGTGGCCGTTGTTACTAAAAATATAAATTTTTGTGAAAATCATTCAAAATGCTACTCCTCCTACAGTTTTGGTCTGATTTCAATATAACTTGGCACACAAGTAGACTACACTAAGGTGCATAATTCTGTATATCGGTTTTAGATTTCGATGAACAGTGTTGCCGTTGTTACTAAAAATAGAATTTTTTGTGAAAATCATTCAAAATGCTACTCCTCCTGCAGTTTTAATCTGATTTCAATATAACTTGGCACACAAGTAGACTACACCAAGATACATAATTCTTTTTATCGGTTTTGGATTACAATGAACGATGTTGCCATTGTTACTAAAAATAGAATTTAAAAAAATACTTTCAAAATGCTACTCCTCCTACAGTTTTGGTCTGATTTTATTATAACTTGGCACACAAGTAGACTACACTAAGGTACATAATTCTGTGTATCGCTTTTTGATTTCAAAGAACGGTGTTGTCATTGTTACTTAAAAAAGAAATTTCTTTGAAATACATTTAAAATGCTACTCCTCCTACAGTTTTGGTCTGATTTCAATATAACTTGGCACACAAGTACACTACACTAAGATACATAATTCTGTGTATTGGTTTTTCTCATTATTCTATTTATTGCTTTTGTAAAGTTTTATATCCCAACTGCTACTTTTCTCTTTCTTTATTATAAGTACAAACCAGTAGAGCTTCAGTCTCGACAGAGACTTCTGGTTCTTAAAAGGGGTGGTGGGTGACACTGTCATATAATACATGATATATTGAGAATGAAATAAGTAAATTCAATAGTTAGGCTTTGTAGAAAGAAATATCCAAGATAATTCACTACTTTCTTATTGACGAAATTGTATTGTGTGCATCTGAACAAATACATATAATAGATCATGCATCTGGAGACGATGACTTGAACTGCGTTGTTTATTATTATTGGACTCGTCCATTTATGGAATAAACCAAACGCGGGATTGGTAAACAAATTAGAAACATCATTTCTTTAGTGTTACATGTCCATATACCATGTATACTGATGTATACGATATGTTGTTTTAAAGAATGGTATAAAACTTGTAGATAGAATTTCTGAAGCATAAAAAGAAAGTGAAAAGGACAAACTTTATTTAATTCCATGGAAGTTAGCACACCCATTCATATAATAGAACAATCCAAGGTAGCTTACTAGTGATATTTGGCGCGAAAAGAGCGATTCACCCCTTTCGTAGAATATAAATGGACTGATCCAGTAGTATAGAAATGCAAAAAAAAAGGATACACGGACATGTTGAAACGGCAAATCATATGGAAAAATCTGTTCCATGCAAAAAGATTAAAGGAAGTAAACACTGCAGTATTTCGCATCAGTAATATGTTTCTTTTTTCTGAAAAGTGTTTCTTTTAAAATGCAGGTAAAGAATTCCAATGTAAATCAGCTTGCACAAAATCTAGCTCTTTAGATATGGTCGCACATTTTCGGATCTTGGAAATATCAATCCTTATACTGCCTGACGCCGTGACGTCAGGCAAAAATTGGCGATTTATGTAAACATCGTTGGGTGATAACAACTATTTATATAAGGTAAATTAATGTATGCTGCTTAGTGCGAATACATTTAGCTACAAAATTATTTATCAAAAAATGCTATTTTCAGCTGTCATTCTTTAAAACATACTCCAATAATGGGTTCTATATTTAAACAGTGAAGATTGCCATATTCCCGAGCTATAAACATTTTCAACAACGTTATTTTTTGTCAAAATATGAAATATGGTATACATGTAGTACATTTACTTCAAGTGGAATTTTACAAAACAAATATTTCAATGTCCATTTTATAAGGCGATCAACAAAAGTGATGTACAACAAACACCTTCTATGTTATATCACTCCCACAATTTTTAAGACAGTTTCAATTCTCAGTGATACTTAAGTGCTCAAACTTACATGCAACTGTTAGCAGTATTTAATTTTATATACATGATCTATTTCAGACCCATGCATCCTACAGCAGTAAATCATTTTTACCGTTTCGAAACATTCCGACTTACACACAACTGTCAAATGGAATAACATTTTATACCTTTACTATGTAAAATGGGACTATCCCTTTTTATGACAACATTTTGCACAAAGAATTTTTTTTCAACATTCAAAACGAAATAATAACCACACTGTAACAAAAATAGCTAGTTAAAGTCACTAAGGAGACTAGTAAATTTATTGTCCATACAATCACTACCTTCAAAGCAGTTTTACGAGGTATTGGGTATATTTACTACATAAGATTAGTAAAGCTAGAATTGATAAGTAACTTTCACTATGTATGTAAGTATCTATACGTCTCCCGCTTCAAAACTCACTATCTTAGCCAGTAAACTGAAAGATTACTAATCATGACAAACGCTTTACGAGGCACACTAGCTAAATTCACTAGGTTTTTCTTTCAGTGCATATAACATACTTATTTTGAAAGAATGATAAGGGTATCAGAAAAAAATCTTCCAAGTTGCATCACGATAGGCAGAGCTAATCTGTCATAGGTCTCCGTACATTAGCTCCAGCGTTAGGTGACTTCTCCAACAGTTTGGTATATAATGCTCCAAACAGGAAAAGCAGAAGTATCCATCCTGGGTCTGTGTTCAAGGTATTAAAAAGTCTCAGGATCAACGAGTTTTGGAGATGATTCAGTTTTCTGCACTGAAAGAAAAACCTAATGAATTTAACTAGTGTGTTTCGTAAAGTGTTGGTCGTGATTAGTAAACTTTCAGCTTACTGGTTAAGATAGTGAGTTGTGGAGCGGGGGTCGTATAGATACTTAAATACCTAGTGAAAGTTACTCATCAATTCTAAATTTACTAATCTTATGTAGTAAATATACCAATATCTGGTAAAACTACTACTAAGGTAGTGATTGTATGGACACTGAATCTACTAGTTTTCTTCGTGACATTAACTAGTTATTTTTTACAGTGTGAATAATTTTGAATAGCAAATGTTGGTCGTTTAAATAAATAAATTTAGACGGCAATGATATCTTTGTTAGGCACACGAATGAACATTTTCGGAATCGCGTACACCTGACACCGTACTACGGACTGCGGACTATCGAACAAAAGACCGCTTTCAGGGAACGTATAGAAATACGTTTTCAGTCTTTCTTAACTTTACTGTACATACTTTCATTTTTCTGGGATTTTTTTTCATGCATGTGACACAATTTAAACCTGGAAACAGATTTAAAAGAATTATTATAATTATAAGCTTAATTTGTGTTTATTGAGTAAATAAAATGTATATCTATATGTATATCAGATTATATACACAAACGCGTAGGTATTGTACAAGCATCTTCAATGTAGTGATGTGTATAAATCAAAGATTGTGTTGTCTACAGACAAGTCCTGTAACAATGTCTATAACAATGGGTAACTTCCTCCTCGGATGACGCCATATCCCACTCAGAATTTTATATTTCTTTAATTTTCCGATCGAGCGTTCGATGAGGGATCTATACATCGACACAAGTCTATTAAATTTCCGTCTTTTTCTTTGCTCTTGAGGATTCCTGTTAATTATTTGTTGATGGGAATATGGAGTGATGATTGGATACCCATTAGGATATATTTTGTCCCCTAAAATAAAACAATCTACTGGGAAAGGGAGCTCTGCCCCGATTTTATTTGACATTAAAGAATATTGTTGAGCATCATTTTGATGACCAAGGAAGCCGCTTTCTATGTGACGTATCAATCCGGAGTTGTCAATTATGACCTGTGCATGTAATGCATGATATTTCCTGTGACCAGAATAATACAATCGTTGTGGCTCAGTTCTTGGGCAATATATCTCTACTGAGGTACCGTCGATTGCACCGATTGCGCATGGTAATTTTGGCCACACATGCATCATATTCCGCCATTCATCAATAGAAGGCCAGGTGATGAAGGATTTTGCAACAAGATGGAATACGTGCATTAACTGACTGATTTCCTCATGAATTGTTGTAATGCTTACATCAAAAAGTTGAGACAAGAAATAGTACGATGGGTAACATCTCAACCATATCATAAATAATATTGTACGGTTTCTTGGTGATAAACTATGTCCATTCATGTTTGCACCTAACACGTTAGTAATTTTTTGCATGAGGTCTAAAAATGTTTCAATACTTTCTCCTGTTATTTCAAAAAAACCATAAGGGTGTTCTGAGAAAATGCCAAAAACATTTCTTCCTTGCCATACACCTATTTCTCCATTACATAACCGATGTCGAGCATCTACCAATGGATCCGGTGGGGGCTTTGTGATCAACATCAGTATCGATATTAATTCTTTTATAAACAGAATGTCAGGGGGACTTGAGGCAAAAGCTGGGATCGCTGTCGCCACAATATCTAAATCCATGTTTTCCTGCAATAGTATTAATAAATATATATATTTAACGAAAAGTAAGGAAAAAAGCAGGAAAACCCTTCTTAGTTTTTTGTTCTACATTGATTTAAGACCAAAGAACTCAATATAGGAGTCGTATTTTACTTATCTTGATTATACATTTTTCCTAAATCATTTAACGTAAGATACATGCATACCTATCAATTATAAAATAATAAACTGACATGCTAACAATTTATTTTCTACGACCCCCCCCCCAAAAAAAAAAATAAAAACACAAACACACTCACCCCCCCCCCCCTAATATTGTTGAACTTATAAAAAGATGTGAAGACACTTAAATCTGTTTTCTATAGATTGTCTTTTAAGAATAATTTAATTTCAACATTTTTAACATCAATTAATTTTTTTTTTATACAATTAGGTGTGCTTGTTCATATTGTTATCAAGATAAAAGTACGTATTTGCAAAATGGTTTAATTTCTTGGATCTTTGTGTGGGGATGGGGTTCCTAACCATATTGTATGAAAATATGATGAAATAGTGTGTCTTTCATGGATTTTATATCATTGCAGTGTATGTGTTGTTTAATTTAATAGTCAGAAATTACGGAGTTTCTTTACGTGATAGTATACATGTATTAAACGTTACACCCCCAACACACTAATTACGTTTTATTTTGTTATTTTAATAGTTCTACAGATTCTTCTATATACTTCACCACTCCTTCTTTAAAACAAACATAGATCCGCACTTTCTCTTTTCCACCTTGGACATGCGCCTTTTTGTCTTGTTTATTGTGCTACTTTTTTTTCATTGCGCTCACTTTGAACCGAGAGCACGGACTTTGTAAAAAAAAAAAATGGATGAGCTACCAGATATTCCAGATGGTAAGTTTTATTGAACTCTGTTTTCTCTTACGGTTTAAACTCAAAGAAGTATGATTCTCTATACATTATGCAATTCTTTATGTAATTATACCTGCATGTTTAATAAATACATGTGTACATATATATTTTTAGGGGGGGGGGGGGGTATTTATTTATATATGTGTGTATGTTTTGTTTCTTGCGTTTTAAAAGAAATTCAAAACTTTAAACTTGTGCAAAAAATGTAAACATTGGTTAATATTATTTACACATACTACAGAAAAATACTCACACTGACGTCGCTTTCGCATTTCGATGTGATATCGGGAATCAAAAGGCCCGTAACTCTAAGGTCTTATGCATTAAACATTTCGGGGGTGGGATTAAAATCACTTTATATCAACTTCTGTACCAAATTTCCTCAATTTTGTTAAAAAAAACTAAAATTGAATGGAAATTAATTTGAGATATTTATAGTACACACGCACAGAAATAGAACGCTTTGATAAAAAAAAAATTCCTTGATTAGTTTTGGATTAATACGAATCGTTTTCTAAAATGCTTCTTTTTATTCATTTTAGTCCAACTGGTTAAATAAAAGAGGGTGCATTTTTTAATACGTGTTTTTTTCTGTAAATAAATATCTAGTGATCTTAGTCTACCCCCCCCCCCCCCCCCCCCCACACACACACACACACATGCATACGCACCATATTCAGGTGAAATTCACTGTCTACCTTAATATACTTTTAAAAATTATGAAATTTTTTTCATTTTTTTAATGATATTTTTGTATTACAGAATATTGTGAACATCAAGCTTTTGTCAAAAGAAAGCGTGTTATAAAGTTCTGCGACCAGGAGATCATACTAATGCTGAGGAGCTACCAGGTACATCCGTGTGCCTGGATTCAAATTCGTAAATCTATGCTTGAAAATATCCACCAACTCCCATCTGAAACTCAAAATATGTACAAAGCATCATCAGTAAAACAAATTAAAGACAGGCTGTCTGCAAAACTTTCAAAACTGCTTTCTATGTCAGATGGCGACATAGAAAATATTACAATAAGGTGAGACACTTGCATATACCAGTACCTTATAGTTAATTAAAATATAAAATTGAGAAACATTATTCAAAAAATTGAATACTGAGTAATAAAAAAAAACAATGAAATAAATAAAAGACAACAGAATAATATTAAGATTTTTTTTCAGGAATGAGTTAAAAAAGGTTAGAAGTATCGAAATGAAGCTAGCACGACCTACATGCTATCAAGGGAAACAGGCGGGATCACTGGATCCGAGATCACAAATTACAGGAGAGCTGTCGTCCGACGAAGATGAGACACTGTCTGTGGGTCCATCAAAGTCTGTACCTTGTACTTCTAAATCAGCCAGTGCGAATGCCCAATCTGCGTCTGCACCTGTCCCCTCTAGTCCTGGTCCTTCAGCATCTTTCCGATCATTGCCTGTGTCTTCTGTTGGTTCTTCAACTCGACCATCTACTACCATGTCTCGCCCTGCATCTCTTCCATCTAGCTCTTCCTCCAACCATCCAACATCCAATTCTTCAACCAAGACCAAGACCAAAGCTACCAAAAGGCCACTTCTCAGTGTAATGCGTGAAAATCAGGAAGCTTACAATAAGTTCATTACCACAAAAATCCCAAAACTTCTCAAGGCCCTTGGAGTTAGCTCAGATGAGACAGAATCTGATTGATTAAAATAAAATATATTTAACCTTTATCTGGGTCATTACATGAGAATAAAAGTAAAAGAGCTTTGTTCGCCTTAACTTGATTAAACCTCACAAGTGTCTCATTTAAATAATTACGATTTTCAATTATGAATGAGTTAAATAACTTATTGGTTACATACTCATTATCAATTGGAAATAGAATTCTGTGAAAGACATAATCATTAATTTATCATGTTAATCATATTTTTAAGTTAAGTTATTGAGAAATTTCGAAAATAAACATAATATTTTTGGATTTAGATAAACAATTAGCAGTATGCATGTTTATCTAAAAAATATTGTTCAGAAGACTTAAATACTCTACTGTAGGTTTGCAAGAGGTTTCATAAAAATAAAATTATATAAACTTAATCGAACATATAGTGGAATTGCGATTATCAATTTTAAAAAGAAATGCAATACATAGTTCTTAGTATATTCTTTAAGTTACGCTTTTGACATGTTCCCTCACCTGAAAAGTCCGCAGTCCGTAGTACGTTGTCAGGTGTACGCGATTCCGAAAATGTTCATTAGGACGGCATTTTAAGAGAGGTAGAGAGCTACAATGATTCCTTCGTTGAATCCGAGGTAATGTTTGAGGGGCAAGTAATGCATTTGAAACAATTTTTTGATGTGATTTGTAGGGATGTGCATTCCATTGATGTACATATTTAGAGATTTAACAGTTTTTGACAACACAAAATGGTGATGTAACAATAATTAAGCTTTATTGTATCTATGAAAAATATAAAAACGGTCACCAATAATTCAATTACCTCTATCAATTCTTAACAAAAGCTTTATGTTTTAATTATTTAAAACAAACTGGAAAGCGTTTACTAAAACTTTTTCTGCTTAAATACATGTAAGTAAAATGGATAATCTATTATAATACAACATGTTTGTACCAGAATTGTCTGAAGTTACCGGGAAACTTACACAGTGTTATATTTTTTAAAAAGAATTTCTTCTAATACGCCTCTTTAATTGAGACATGACATCATTATAATCCCGGGCAACTTTTTCTCTATCGACGCAAGCCGATGGAGGTAAACGATTTCCTGTTAACTTTGCTCGCCTTGTCATTTCAAGAAGAGATATGCCATATCTGTCTAGAACAGGATGGCAGTCTTCACTGTTGAAAGCAATGGTGTCCTTTGTTTGGGGCAATCGGATGTTGACGTTTGCTCCAGCATCAAGTAATAATCTTACTTTTTCAGACACTTCAGCTGAATGGATAGATATTAAGGTAAAAAGGAGAGGTTTGACACATATATAAAAATCATCATCATTACCATCACCTGCATCATCGTCTGCATAATGGGCATCAAGGTCATCATCAAAACAAATCTGTACGTACTGGTTTACATTAAAACATACAATTAGCAGATGATTAAGAAATTCACATCCATCGTCGCACACAGTGCGATATGATTCTGACGATGTATTTAAGACCCATGTTTTGTTACTTTTTGTAATGATATCGTCTTTATCATCAGCTTTCACATCAGCCTGTCGGATCTGAACAAGAACATCAAAAAGATGTCTGTTCAGTTTAAGTCTTGCATTTGTATTTTCCGTTTCTAGGAGAAGCTTACATAAATTTTTCTTGTTTCGTAAAAGAGCAAGGTAAATTGGAGACTCGCCATACTTATTACAAATTGTTACGTCAGCTTTACATTGAATTAATTGCTGAAACGTAGAAAATATTTTTTCAGTTGGTTCCCGGTCTTTCAATTGTATTTCTAAAGATGTGTCGGACTCTACTTCCATTTTCTCGCCTTCGCAAGTGCATCGTATGCCTTGGAACAGAGCTGTCATTGGTGTTTCTGTTCCCTTTTGTAAATTTACATCCGCTCCTAATTTAATCAAATCTTGTACCATGTTGAAATGCCCTGATTTACAAGCAAGTATAAATGGTATCGAATGACAGTCAGAATAAGGTTCAATTAAATTGACGTCAGCCCCAAAATGAATCAGTTCTTTTGCTACCTCTCGATGACCAAAGAGACAAGCGAGTAGTAATGGGGAGAAGTTATCTGTCCGTGGCTTGTAATCCGCCCCAGCTTCTAAAAGTTCTTTGACTACCTTTGAATGGCCTCCTTGACAGGCATGTTCGAGTAATTTTATTTTGTCTTTATCAGCAATGTCTGTAAATCTCAATAAAAGTTTTTTTGCAACATCTACATGGCCTTTGATACATGCCATTTCAAGTGCTGTGTATCCTTCCTCGTTTTTAATAGTAATTTCTGAACTTAAAATGTCCTCTACAAGTTTTATATGGCCACATTCAGCTGCAACGTTTAATGTAGATTTGTTTTCTCCATCTTCTTTGGCACCCCATTTCAGTAATGTATCTATTAATTTCGAATTGCCACTCCGATAAGCTTCTCTTAGTGGTGTAGTAAAAACACGCTTTGATGTATAATAAAAAACTGGTAAATTTACATCAGCTCCTGCTTTCAGTAGAAACTCGGCAACACTAACATATCCATAGGCACAGACAACTGACAAAGGTGTTTCGATACGATTTTGCATATTTATGTCACATCCAGCTTCTAACAATATCTCAATGATATTTGTATGACCATGTATACACGCTATCATAGGCGGTTTAAGATACACATCATCTAACTTTAATTCTGCCCCATGTTTCAATAACTCATTCACAAGTTCATCACTACCTGACTTACAAGCAGTTGTCAATGGACTTTGACCTGCGCAGGTTATATTAACACCTGCACCTTTTTGCAACAAGTTTTTCACAAGATTTATATCTCCATATCTACAAAGAGCTATTAGTGGTGTATACTTTTTACCTTTAGAATTTATATCAGCCCCAGCTTTTAAAAGAGTATCTAATAATTCTTCAATTATGCCAGGAATACATTCTAATTTCAGAATGATACAGTTCGTTAACCCACCTAGAACTTTCAAGATATGGATTCGATAGCAAGAAGAATTGCAATCATTTTCTTTTATAAGGGTAAAAAATAATTTGTCAATACCCTCCGAACAGGCAGTTACTATTGGTGTATCACCCATGCTATTCATTTTATTCACATTAGCCCCAAATTTGAGTAACTCTTTTACCACATCGGTGTGTATACCCGAACAGGCAGCCGTTAAAGGTGTGTCCATTCCATCGGGAAAATGTATGTAATCAGGTGAAACATCTAAGCTCTCTTTCCTTACATGCTCTAACAAAGTTTTAACAGATTCTAAATTCCCACTATAACAGCCGAGTACCAGCATCCTATTTTGCTCTCTGAATAATCCTTGACAACAAACGGATTTGTCAGTGTAGCTTTTTCCTTGACGTTTCTCTGAACAGGTACACCTATGTTTGAAGAAATTTAGCTGTATTTCGTTTCTCAGCTTAGCCTTTTTTTCAATATACTGCAATATTTGGTGATGACCATAGAATATCACCCAGCTGATTACTCGAACATTAGGAGTTGTGCCCTCGTCAACTAAAAGTGTTTGTCGCCTTCTCTCTTATTTTTCATCATTTATCCTTTCCTTAATCATACTTCTTCCTTTACGGAAAATTTCACTTACGTCTTGCTGAATCGACAGAAACAAGGCATTTATCTCCTCATAAGGCTTTTCTCTCAAGACTTCAATGAAGGCTTTACATACATCAGGGTGATTTAAGTGGCCGTTCATAAAAACATCATAGAGCTTCATCACCTCCACATCTCGATATAACCTTTCGGCTAGCATTGGGTACAGTTCACAGGGTAAAATTATAGAAAGATCTTCATTCGAAACTCCACTTGCATGCTCATGACTTTCTCTGACTTGTGTTTGTTGTATCGTTTTAACAAAATTAGCAATGAAATCACTGCTCATGAACTTTACTATTTCATTCGGAAATTTCTTGCCGTAGTGGCAGGCAGTTAGTTCATATAAACGATCATGAAAAAATGTAAACTCGTCACCATTTCGTATGGTACAGGTATATGTTCCATCCAATGCTGCCAGTGCTTTGAAAAATTTAAATGTATCGGTACAACTCTCTACTTCGCAATTCTCCAAAACGTTTCTTTTAATTTCACTGAAAATGACATCATTCTTTTTAAAAATGTCCCGTGAAAGTATTTTATTGTTAAACATACATAATATTAATGTTGCATAATGAAGTTTATTTTCGCTCTGCATTTTGTCCAATTCCTCGAGAATGCATCGAAATGGAAAGAAGAAAAAGTCTACACCATTCTTCCGAAATGTATCACCTTTCGAATAAAGTCTGCACAAAAGTGGAAACATTTGAGATGTATTTTTGAGCCACTCATATGTAAGTATTTCTGTGAATATGTTCAGTCCATACTTCTGAAACAGATTTTTCTTGTCTTCATTCGAGAGCAAGTGATCAGAATGTTGAAGGTCGATCACATTATTTTCCTTTCTCAGAAACGAAACACATGTACGACTGACAACTTCATTGTACACAGTTTTGCGACATGTCATGAGAGTTTTTGATTTCTTCATCATAGGATTCTCAATTTTCTCTTTGTAATCTACCAGAAGATTAAGTTTTTCATTTTGTACTCCAAGCACACCTATCACATCGTCAATGATAAACACCTGTGCGTTGTGGGGGTCGCAATACTGAACCATGTCTCTCAGCTCTGTAACCGGTACGATTTGATAGTCTTCTTCTTCATGAAGCTTCAGAGCTATATGGCAGGCCGTGCCCGACTTTCCAGAACCTGGGACACCAACAAACGTTATGTAGGACTCTTCTCGTACTTTTTCCATCATTGAAGAAAAGCTACGAGTCTCAACGTATAACTTGTCATTCTCCCGCCATCTTTTGATTTTATTGTCAAGAATAACTGAAACGAAAAGGCACTATTGTAAACAATGATAATTACTTTTTTAAAGTATTGTTCTTTGAATCTTAAATTGGACCACGACTCAATTTAATTTCTCTAAAAACCGCAAACTGTCTTCTTTTAGTCTCAAATAAACTGCAGAGCTTAAAATGATATTTTCTCATTTAAATTACAAACAAGTCAAAGATACGCTTATTAATTTAATAGCATATTGTTGAATAAGGCGATTACCATACCTCTAACATTTTCAGGAATGGCAGTTTTCTTCAGTTCTGACATGTCATCTACAAACGAGTCAAATACGGTTTACATATTTAGAATCTTTTAGACCTTTTTATTCATTGGACATAAATCTAACGTTCCACTTAATTATAGTTGTTAAATTTTCTGTAATTTTTTAACTGATCAAAATGATATAAAACGAAAAAACTAATTTGCCATGTTTTTTGTATTCCTCAGCCGGATGAAATTAAGCATGATCGAGATAACGTTATTTGAATTTATAAATTGAATAAGATCCCTTGAAACATATGCTAAAATGTGCATAATTTGAGTAAATAAATCATACTTTCCAGATTAACGACCATGTCCCGCGTTGTTTGATCCTCTGCTGTCTGTCTTAGTAGTTCCTCTCTGTTATTACGATCATTTATAGGATCCATTGTCTCTTGACGTAGGAAGTCAACCTCGTTTTCATATCGATTGTTGTTTCCAAGAAAAGAATCCAAAACCACGATAGCTGACCTGACACTTGACCAGATTCGATTGAAATCAGTATTAGAAAGGGAAGGACTCGGAGAGTGTACGCAGTCGTTACGACCAATTCGAATTCTCTCGATACTGGCAGACACTGATACGTCATACGGGTCAGGATCATTGCCCCAGCCTTTTGAGTGGGGCGGTATGCTACATATGTTTTGTAATAGGGTATACAACAGCGTTATATCCATGTCATTGTAATTTCCCGTATAATATCCATGTATAGGGAAAATTAGGGTTCTTTGTGCAACAGACAAACGCGGCAAATTTATTATATGTTGTCTGAGCACGTGGGTAAATGTTGGTGGTGGTACACAATGACGAAGAACATCCCGTAGTTCGTCTGTACATGGACCCAAAAGTAGACGACATGCTCTGTTGGCGTTTGTTGTCTCCTCTGTGGAGGAATAAGTAGAGGAAGCCATTTCTTAAAGACTTACTCTACAAAAAAGAATTTAACAAAGTGAAAATTAGTGTTGTTGTGAAAGGTAGGGGATATGTACATCATCATTCATTTTCAATAAATGAAAGTAAGTATGGTGTTCGGTTTTGTTATGTGTAATTAACGCTTAAGAATCTTTTGGAATTAAAAAACTAAAAGGCTATACATGTTGAATTTCTCTACAATTTGAATTGACTAGGCGGAGTGCAAATGAAATATAAAGAAAAAATGACAGATTTATGAGATATGATAACCTGAAAATGAATGTCAATGAGAGGTTAAGTCCATTTAAAATTCTGTAAAATGTCAAGGGAACAATAAATACAGTACTTATTCAAAATCAAACTTCCTGAAATATCCATCTAAAAAGTCTTAGTGAAGAACCCTTTAAGTAAAAAGGCGATATGTGAAATAAGATATCTCAATTCAAATATATCAGTAAAGGTAAGTTCATAAAACGAAAATAAGACAATGATAAATACATGTACATGTGTAAAACAAACACATACCAGGTATTTATTATTTACATGACGTTACGTATTTAAGTTCAAAGCCCTACCTTTCCTCGATTTAATTACGTATAAACGTCCATTTTTTTCTTCAGATGGTTCATTTAATAAAAAAGTGATCTTCATGATCACAGACCATTAAAAGAAATGATCCTCTCCAATACTATGAAAAAATTTAAATGTCATTCGAATTCATAAGAAAATCAATAGTTGCTCAGTGTACAGGGGTGTTTAAAGAGTCGATGATCTATATCGAACATTTAAATCAATACATATATTTGCATCATTGCGTTCAATTTGTTAAATATCTTGTTCATTTTAAAATATCATCAGTTCCAGTAAAGTGTACTGTTTTGCATCACGTCACTACCTAATTTGACGGCTGTGCTCAAAGTAAGTAGTACACGCCTCCCAACCACAGCCCTTATGATTCTTGTTTTTTTGTTTGTTTGTTTTTCTGAAATAGTCCATTGCACGAGTAACCAATCAGGGATATTTAGGAAAAACTACTAATCAAAATCTTTGCGGTTAGCAGGCTTGTACTATTTTAAGAGCAATGTCAAAATATATACAAGGCTGTGAGTCTGTGACACAATGCAAAACTGTATACTTCAGTGGAATTGATAATATATTGATTGATTAATTGTTTTTGTTTAAGGTCCCTCTAAATAATTTTTCACTCATATGGAGACGCCACCACGCCGGCGGGGAGCTGTCAGTTGTGTCCTATACTCAGCACTCAGGGCTATTAATCAGTGAGGAATCTTTTTGTGCCAATATAAATGAAGTACAAGTGAGTTAAACGTCATAAGCGTCGGAACCGGGGGGGGGGGGGGGCTAGGGGGGAGGGGGCTTAGCCCCAACTTTTTTCCAAACATAGACTTAGTATAGGCTTTAAACAAAAAAATGGAAGTGGTGTTGTTTGGGAAAAAAATTGGTACTTTAAGAAGTTCGAGCCCCCACCCCCACCCCCACCCCCCATGAAATAGGATTTTCGTGTTTGGACAATGGACATTTTCCTTTTTTTTACTTGTCAGGTTATTACACTTTGCCCCCCCCCCCCCCCACTTTCTATTTGCTTCCGACGCCAACGAACGTAAAGATGATTAACAAATGGAATATGGAAACAAGTCCGGAAATCTGTTGGGACATTAACAAGTTAAAGGTATAGTACTTAGAATGTAAACAGTCTTGTTCCAAACTCATTTACAAAAGAAGCAAGTGTTATGGTCAATACAGCGACCCTTTCTGCAAATACAATATATTTATTATTAGGTCAAATGCTGACTGGTTAATGTTTTGGCATTTATTGCGTGGACCCTGCGGTCCACGCAGTAAATATATAAGCGAAGTTAAACCGGATGCCCTGGGCAAACGACAGGCTACGCATGCGCGAGAATGCTAGGGAGTTCGCACTTTAGGTAACTTGCCCGTAGAATAATTCGCCCCATTTGAATGAAAATTTTGCCATTCATTGGCAAATCGCGCTTTTAAATCTGCATATCGCATTTACATATTCATTGTCAGATCCGTTTTTCTCTCTTTTACATAAACTTTTATATACAAACTAAACATTGATTCTATGGTACAAGCACTTTAAGAAGTTACGGTATATAGATACATGTAACTTAAAAACTTGAATGAAAAACGTCACTCAACGAATAGAGATAGTTTTTCACCGGCATTTAGTTTTGTGCATCAAGGCTCGCAAAATAATTTAATATTTCAGCAATCTAAATATCGTTTGGTAAAGGTCTGTAGCAACGGCTTTTAATGTGTGTGTGTGGGGGGGGGGGGATTGACCAAAAAAATTCTGCGTACTACAGCTGTGCTACTCGTGAACCATCAGATCTCCATTTTTCCCATGATGAATTTCCTCCGTATTAATCCAGAACAGTATGAATTACACGTATCAAAATAACCCGATTTTTTAAACTGACAAAAACTATATAAAGGTCGCAAATCGCAGATAAAATTTCACAATTTTGCTTTGAGACTACAATCACTTATAAGTACGCAGATCATTGTAGTAAAAGTGAAAAAACCTACATGAATGTTCCCGACACCTAGAAATTTTCTTAATTGAATATCAGTTAGAAAAAACATGCATATGGTCCACGTATTGCAGTCCTTTTTTAAAGTACAGCAACTTGTTTACACATTATATTTTTTACGGATTGTTTTTCGTTTACTCATGGCCAAGAGCACACAGCGTTCGTCATGTCAGAGGATGCTTACTTCTCATGCGGCATCTAATCCCGCCATTCTCGAGAGGGACGTTAAACAATATACAATCAATCATCTAATCCCGCCTCTGAGGCTGTAGTATATCCGTGTTTGCTCTGCTCCTTACTTTTTTTTCTTTTTTGTTCAAATGTTTTGAAATTAGATGAAACACATGGAGATCACAAACAGTATTCAAGATCAAAAGTCCATAAAACAATAAACATTGTACAAAATAGGAGCAGAGCAAACACGGACCTCCAAAACATGAGAAGTGGGATCAGGTGCCATGGAGGAGTGAGCATCCCCTGCCAACCGGTCACATCCGCCGTGCGCTCCTTGTCATGATCGGGAAATAACGGAAAAATCCGTCGTCAATTCAGTGCATAAATAATGCACTAACAATTAGTATGAAAAACGTCAGACAGAATTTGACTCCATGATAAATTGTATTTGCTTACAAGGTTATTGTATAGACCAAAGAACTTATGAAATGATGACTTTATACGAGACTGCTGATATTCTTGTTTCATCAACTTGTTTGTCAATAATTTACTTTTTAGAAATTGATCATTTACAAATTCCAAGACAAAATTTTTACCGTATCAGCGTTCCGAGAAGATTGCAAGGGACCTTAAAGAAAAGTTTTTTCCCTTTGTAAAATGAAAAAAAAAACCACTTCTGGCATAGAAATGCATGGATCTCCTTTCAGAACTGAAACTTATCTGAAAGTGAAACGGAACCTTATATCATTGATTCAAGTTGCGAGTCAGCTGATTTTAGACGATTATACATTTTCGACATAACAAAATGAATTGGAGAAAAACAGTAGTCTCTCTTCAAATTTAATTTAAAAGTTCATTCTTTTTAATTCAAGCACATCGCGCGGATCGAGACGTATAAAATGAAAATTTTTGCATGACAAGATTTGATTTTCAAGTTTCATTTTGAGACTTTTTCGGTTTTAATGATAATTAAAGGTACTTAAATTGGACACAGATTTAAAGTTATTATTTTCTCTATAATATTACGACTTATGTATTTTAATAGCATTTCACACAAAAATTAATTAAAAATATTATTTCATATAAAAGATATTAAAATTTCAAATTTTTGGCGGGTTTGATTGACACATCCTTGCGCTTTCACAAATTAATTTTATTCTTAATCCTTAGGAAAAGTGGCAATCTCGTTGTGTATAAATGAAAAATATTGATTTTATAATCCAGAAAATTCAGAGTAGACATGTTCGAAAGCAAAACAAACACACAATATATTGTCAGTCCGTGCAGTTGTGGTAAGCAGACTGTGACGATTGAATATAAATAATAACAGAACTCGAGCCCTGTTTACAAAAACTGTGTACATAACACGAGTGTGCTCGATTTGCTAAACTCTGTAAGCAACCCTTAGTTAGGAATGACGATACTTGTGAGGGAGTTTTGCTTTATAACATTTGTACTCGGAATAAAACTATTTTTCTGGATAGAAGTTTTAATATTTCTCATTAATACACCACAAGATTGCCACTTTTCCTAAGGATTAAGAATAAGGTTAAAATTTGTGAAAGTGCAAGGATGTGTCAATCAAACCCGCCAAAAAAATTCAAGTTTTAATAACTTTCAAATGAAATAAGATTTTTAATAAATTTTGTGTGAAATGCTATTAAAATATGTATGTCGTAATATTATAGAAAAAATATTGACTTCAAATCTGTGTCCAATTACCTTTAAAGAGTAATCCTACCTGGTTGAGGATCGGAGAATCTTAAAGGTATATATATATTTATTGTTTTGGGAGCGAAATGATTCGTACTTTTGATTAATATCCTAAAACAAGCTTTGATTTTAAAGCGGCAATACGGCTGCAAATCGTGTGCTATTTCATTCACATTTACCCAATATATCATTAAGTAATAAAGTAAAAAGTTGAAGTAAGCAGTTTGAGAAAATAAATATTCTCTCCTCACACAAAATTAACGTAATTAGAATCTGCCGGAAAATCAAGGGTCGTACAAGTTAGCTCTGTTTATCTCTGTTTACTTGTACCACGTGAATTCTAAAATGGCACGTGCATACAATGTAGGGTTTACAATTATAATGGGATATTAGGTAAAGCAATTCTCAGAATTAAAATATCATAACTCTCCGGTAAATTAATAATAGTTAACATTTTAGTCTGCATTCAGACGAATTTAACATGATTAAGTACAAATGTTGACGTTTTGTGTATTGGGGTGCAAGAAAGGAAAATCCACTAAATC